TGGTCTCCCTTCAGTCCGTGAGGCCTTTGGGGTCCGCTGAGGTGTGTCCCCCATACCCCCCCCTTTTCATGAGGTATTCGGGGGTCCCCCCCCTCATTCTGTGAGGCCTTTGGCATCCCCTGAGGGTTCCCTCCCTTTCCTGAGAGATCTGGGGTGTCCCCCCCTCATTCTGTGAGGCCTTTGGCATCCCCTGAGGGTTCCCTCCCTTTCCTGAGAGATCTGAGGGTTCCTCCCCCGATTCTGTGAGGCCTTTGGGGTCCCCTGAGGGTTCCCCCCCTTTCCTGAGAGATCTGGAGGGTTCCTGTCCCCTCATTCTGTGAGGCCTTTGAGGTCCCCTGAAATGTCCCCCCTGCTTCCCTGAGGCCTTTGGGGGTCCCCTGATGGGTCCCCCCCTTGCCTGAGAGATCTGAGGGTTCCTCCCCCGATTCTGTGAGGTCTTTGGGGTCCCCTGAGGTGTTCCCCCCCTTCCCTGACACTTTTGGGGTCCCCTGAGGTGTCGTTTCACCCCCTTCCCTGCAGGATTTGGGGTGCCTCCCCCCGAGCCTCCTCTCAGGCTTTAGGACCCCCCTAGTCCCTTGGAGACCCTCCCTCTTCCTTGGGGTCCCCCCACATCCCTTTGGTGTCCCGCCCCAGTCTCCAGGGAGGGTGCTAATGGTGCCCCCTCATCCCCAGGCAGTGCCCACCAGCAGCCGAGGGGCACCCCAAAACTGAAACCCAGCCCTCCCCCCCCGCCATGGCGGTGGAGCCAGAGCCTGTGGCGGGGTGGGACCCCAAAACCGAGGGGGACCCCAGTGTCACCGAGCAGGAGCTGGACCCTGCAGCGACCGAGGGGGACCCCTTGTCCCCGGAGCAGGACCCCCCAGCGGAACGGGACCCCAAAATGTTGAAGCGGGACCCCATGTCTCCGAAGAGAGACTTTGCTGCGACGTCGGACCCCAAAGTGAGAAAGCGGGACCCCAAAATATCAAAGCGGGATGCCAAAATGTCGAAAAAGGACCCCACGTCCCCCCCACGGGACCCCGTGTCACCTCAGTGGGACTCCAGCGTGACGAAGCAGGACCCCCAGTCCCCGACGGGGGACCCAACGGTGGATGAGGACCCCCTTTTCCTCGAAAGCTTCCCTGGGGGGATGGGGGCTGAGCGCTGGCGCCCCGAAATCGGCCCCCTGGGGCGTCCCCGCCGCCCCTCTGCCCGAACCCACCTCCGCAACCGCCGCTATGCCGCTCTGCGACAGCTCATCCAAGGTCTGGGGGGGGTCCCTGACGTCCCCGGGGGGGTTTCCTGATGTCCCCTGGTGGGGGGGGGGGTCTGTAACATCCTTATGGGATCCCCGACGCCCCAGTGGGGGGGTTTCTGTCAGGTCCCAAAACCCCCCAGGAATTCCCTCAGGTCCGCAAGTGCTCCTCGAGGGCTCGTGAGGGGGGTCCCCGGGTTCCCTTTGGGCCCCCCCCCTGGTTTTCTGCAGGCTTTGGGGTTCCCCTAACTCCTCTCTCAGCTTTGCCCCCCCCGCATCTTGCCTTGGATTTTGGGGTCCTCTATTTCTTTTTGGGTTTTGAGCCCCCCACCCCCCATGCATTCCTCTTTGGATTTGGGGGTCCTCCATTTCCCCTAGTGTTTCAGGATCCCCCCCCCTCCATTTTCCCCTTGGGCTTTGGGGTCCCCCCCCTCCCCAGTCCAATTTGGGGTTAGGGTCC